TTTAAAACTATTTTCTGAAGGCGTGATTTCTATAGAGTACTTAATAAATATTTGCTGAATGTTTTGTGTCCATTTTCCTTTTCATGCCCCACACCACACTGTGGTACAGGGTATTATGTCTTTGTGCATATGTTTGTAACAGGCAAAAATAATCGAGATAGACCCATGGCCCCTTTTGAGAATATGCATGGAATCACTTTTTAAGTCGATTTATGCATGTCCGTCCGTCCGTCTGTCTGTCTGTCGATGATAAATTGTAAACAAAATACAGGTTGCATTTATAATCCGAATTGGATGAAATTTGGCACAGGTCACTTATTCGGCTCATGGACAATTTGGAAAAAATCGGTTCAGATTCAGCTCCCATATATATCTTCGTCCGATTTAAGGTAAATAGTGCACCAAAGTCCCTATATATCCTTAGATTTGCACGACATTTGGCATAGCGTACTGAATTAAGTCTATAGTGATGTGTGTTAAGTTTCGTGAAAATCGGTTCAGATTTAGATATAGCTCCCATAATATAAGTTAATCTCAGGCAATTCCCATTGAAATCGGTTCAGATTTTGATATAGCTTTTACATATATATTTTCGTCCGATTTTACACAATATTGTAACAAATTTTGCACAACGTACTGAAGTTAATATAACCTAGAAGTTGGATATAAGTGCTTCACCAAGGTGGGTCCAATCGGCACAAAATTTTGCACTACGTACTAAAGTCCAAAACATAACGTGTGACAAGTTTAGTTGAAATCTGTTTAGATTTAGATATAGCTCTAATATATAGTTTCGTCCGATTTTAAATGGTTCACCAAAGACCAAAGGTTGGCCGATTGACACACAATTTTGTTCAACGTACTGAAGTTAATATAACCTGTGGAAAGTTTTGAAAGCGTGTGGAAAGTTTTGAAATCGGTTCAGATTTAGATAGAGCTTCTAGATATATTTTCTCCCGATTTTAGAATGTGGCCGGTATGCACAAAACATATGGAATTTAGTATAACTTAAACTTGAGAAGTTTCGATGAAATCGGTTTAAATTTCCGTATAGCTTATATATATAGCTTATATATATATATATATAAAAGAGTAAAGTGATTGACTGACTGACTGATTTAACGATTCATCAACGCCCAGACGAAACGGCTGAAGCTAGAATCTTGAAATTTTGGTTGAGGGTCACTCTTGGTCCAAATGTGACAGATAAGGCTGGGTTTTTGAAAGCCATTTGTATTTGGTGAACCGATAGAGCTAGAACTCTCAAATTTGGATTGGTGGTCGCTGATGGATTGTAGGATAGGTGTAGCAAAGGGTTTTTGGAAAATCGAACTATAACTATCCGAAAGGTACTAAACTGTACTTAATTTGGTACAAATTCGTAGCATGTAAATAGATAGAGCTAAAAACTTGAAATGTGGAATGCGAATTTGGATTGAGATGTAGAGTCTATTAACACTAGAAAGACGGGAATTTTGTATATACCTATATTGCCTAAAATCGGTCAAAATGACTTCATTCTGAAAAATCTTTTATTGTGTAAAGAAATTTTTCTAAACTATTTTTTTAATATTTGTTACATTATTTACAATCATACAAAACGTTGTTATTATTTGTTTTCGGTGGTAGGGCTCTCGGGTTTCCCCTTTTGAAAAATAAGAGCGCGGACAAAACGTTCGAAAAAAGAGGAAGACTTTATATAATATGAAATCGACTGGAAATATAAAATTAATTTTTCCCGATTTGTGTGTTCGTATGTGTTTCTAGAGTAGCAAACGGGTTTCGATGTTGTTGTACCGATCTGGTCATATAAGAAATTTACTTTATACAGTAATAAAAGTAGTTTGATTATTTAATATTTCAAAAAGGTCAAAATGACCGCTTTTAGGCTATTTAGGTATAGCACATGTGAATACGGGGAATGAAAGAGGGGAGGAAGCAGCTACTATGATTAATAAACGTAGTTCTATGTGGTAGAAAAAGTCACCAAATTTTAAAAAGCTGAGTCATAATATACACAATTGTTTTTGTACTTGAAATTTAAAAACCGTCAAAATGACTGCTCTCGGCAATCTAGTGTTAAAGGAGATGGCTTTGAAAGCGTGTACTCATGTGTACGCAAAGTACTACATGGTACTATATTTGGTACAAATTGAATCTAGAATAATAAAAGAGTAAAGTGATTGACTGACTGACTGATTTAACGATTCATCAACGACCAGACGAAACGTCTTAAGCTAGAATCTGGAAATTTTAGGTGAGGGTCACTCTTGGTTCAAAGGTGTCAGATAAAGCTGGGTTTTTGGAAATTCGTACTAGAACAGTACGAAAAGTACTAAATGTGATACCATTTGTAGTTGGCGAACCAGTAAAGCTAGAACTCTGAAATTTGGATTAAGGGTCACTGATGGAGTAGATGCAGCAAAGGGCTTTTTTGAAATCCGAACTATAAGTATCCGAAAAGTACTGAAATGTACTAAATTTGGTACAATATCGTAGTATGTGAATGAATTGAGCTAAAAAATTGAAATTTGGAATGCAAAAAAAAAACTTGAGAAGTAGAGTCGATATGAGGAGAGTTTGGAAAGCGTGTACTCATGTATACGAAAAGTATAATATGGTAATAAATTTGGTACAAATTTAATTTGAAGGTACAAATCGAATGCTTAAAATTGAAAGTAGCAGTAACGTCGGAGTGTAGGATTAGGATATGTGCGTAGTTTTGGAAAATTTTTACTTATGTGTACGAAAAGTACTAAATCGTACTATAATTGGTATAATTTGGATTTAGGTGGATTTAGGTGAACCCTTAGAGCTGGAACAATGAAATTTGGAGTTAGGATCATTGAAGGGATGTAGGTTAGTGTCAGGATTCAATTTAACAAATTAATACTTATGGGTACTAAATGGTACTAAATTTGGTACAATTTGAGTTTTAGGTGAACCAATAGAGCTAGAATCATGGAAATTGGAGTCAGGATCACTGTGGAGGTGTAAGATTGAAATATGTAGGAAGTTTTAGAAATTCGTACTAATGTGTACTAAATTTGGTACAATTTAAATTGTGGGTGAGACGATAGAGTTGAAATCATGAAATTTTGATTTAGGATCACTCTGGAGGTGTAGGATAGGGGTATGTAGGAAGTTTTGGAAATTCGTACTACTGTGTACTAAATTTGGTACAATTTGAATTGTGGGTCAACCGATAATGTTGGATTCTTGAAACTTGGATTTAGGATGACTGGGGGATGTTGAAGTGGGGTATGTAGGAAGTTTTGGAAATTGGTACAACTATGTACTAAATTTGGTATAATTTGAATTGCGAGTGCGCCAATAGAATCCTGAAACTTGGATTTAGGATGACTGTGGAGTTTTGGTATGGTATGGAAATTGTGTGTGCTAAATGGAAAATTTGGATTTGGGTGAACATTTAGAGCTCGAATCATGAAATTTGGTACTAAATGGTACTCAAATTTAATTTATGGTCGGTATTAATGTGTGGATTGTTTTTTCTGACATATATATATATATATATATAATATGTTAATACAAGTTTAAATATCTCCTACTTTCGCTAACGAAGTTGCGGGCAGGAGACGTCTGTTAGGATTCATCTGTTTTCTCAAGGACTGTCAGGAGTGATTTCTATAGAGTACCTTAATACACATTTGCTGAATGTCTTGTGTCCATTTTCCTTTTTTTATTTTGTTTGTCTTCTGTCTTCTTTCCGCGTTTAATTACAATTTATTTGCTTTCCTTACTTTCCTAACCCAACAAAGGATATAATAATTATAAACTATCCACATTAGAGAAATCCTAATGTACGAATGCCACATACATGTTGACTTATATAAATATAAGCACGCACATTAAAGAGATACACATGACGGTATATACATATGTGTGTTTGTCTGTGACTGTGTGCATAAGAACACCTGTAGTTGTATTACCACACCATCATATCCTTGCATCCTGACTAATTATAAAGTTCATAGTAATTTATTGTTTGGTGGCGTTGGCGGGGAGTGGCACTGCCGGTGGTGGTGGTGGTGTTGCCATCGTGTTTGTAGTGGCGATGTTGCGGTTAATTATCGCAAAGCACCTCCCACAACTTTACGCTTGCTGGCAGGCAGACAGACTAACTTTTAGTCTTTTATCATCTCAACCACATGGCAAAACTTTTCGAATTAAAGATACTTTTCGGGTTGAGCTTTTAGTTTTTGAGGTTTTCACATTCATGGGATCAACGGCTGTCTCGATTTCGATGGAGTTAATGGTTAATAATGTAAAGGTGCCAGAGAGTGGGTTATCTTTCTTGTGGTTGGTAGAAGAAATAAATTGATATTGTTAATGAACTTGAAGTTAATAATAATTACCGAAGACTTTACTAAAGAATATAAGTGTGTGTGTTGGCCCTGCAGGAAGGCGTGGATTTTTTAAAAATATTTTTTGAAGGTCTACCATAAGGCGTGGATTTTTTAAAAAATATTTTTTGAAGTTCTACCATTATGCGTGGATTTTTTAAACATATTTTTTGAAGGTCTACCATGAAGCGTTGATTTTTTTAAATATTTTTTGAAGGTCTACCATAAAGCGTGGATTTTTTTTTAATATTTTTTGAAGGTCTACCATAAGAAGTGATTTTTTTATATTTTTAAAAAGTCTACCATTAGGCGTGTATTTTTTAAAAATATTTTTAAAAAGTCTACCATTAGGCGTGTATTTTTTAAAAATATTTTTAAAAAGTCTACCATTAGGCGCGATTTTTTTTAAAATATTTTTAAAAAATTTATCATTAGGCGTGTATTTTCTATAAATATTTTTAAAAAGTCTACGATTAGGCGTGGATTTTTTTTAAATATTTTTTGAAAGTCTACCATTAGGCGAAGATTTTTTTTAAATATTTTTTTTATTATTTTTTTTGAATGAATATTTTAAAGATCTGTCAATATTCATTCTGCATTTAAAAAAACAATTCCCCCTTTTTCTCTTTTTTACAGAGCCGATCGGAATCACGACAACTATTTAACCATCAAAGAATTAGGACAATATATCAATAAAAACATTGTGGACCATATCGATGAAGCCATACAATTAAATCCTCGAGAATTCCGTCGCGTTGATATATCCCCCGCCGATGGTCTGGTTACCTGGGAAGAATATCATCGTTATTTCCTGAAAGAACACGGCATGACCGAAGCCGATATTGATGAACATAATGAAATTAAACATACCGCTCTGAATCGTAAAGCACGTGAAGATATGATGCGTGATAAGGCCCGATGGTCGGAGGCAGCGCGCACTGATCTTTTCACCCTAACCATTGATGAATATCTTTCATTTCGCCATCCGGAATCAAGTATAAGTAATTTACTCGAATTGGTCGATGATTTGTTGAGACAATTCGATCAGGATGGTGATGATCAGCTGAGTATAGAAGAATTTTCCGAAGTGAATGTGGCGGATGATGATGATTTGATACGGAAATCATTGATATCGAAAACGGTTGTGGAAAGGAGAGAAGAATTTAAGCGGATAATTGATAAAAATCAAGATGGCAAAGCGGATCGTGGAGAATTGTTGAATTATGTAAATCCCAAAACGCCCAGATATGCTCTTCAGGAAGCGGCCACCCTTTTCAGTTTATGTGATGAAGATCGTAATGGCAAATTGACACTGAAAGAGGTAAGAGTAATTATTGAATGGGAGAACGTTGAGAGCAAGTGGAGGGTATTTTTCTTACTTTAAGGCATAGAAATGTAGAAGACTACTTGCAGTTGCAGCACAAGAAGTAGTATTCTTATTAAAAAATATTATTTCTAAAACCAATGTGAAATTAATATTGGCGCTTTAGAAGAAGGTTCGACGTTAAGTTTTTTATAAAAATGGGTAATATTTAATAGAGCTTCGGTTTAGTATTTAATGTGCGAACTATATTCAGAAGATCCGACTCAGAAATCAAAGGAGGAAGTTTTATGATACACTATGATACTTCAGAAGTTTCAGCTGATGTACCACTACCCTCCCTATGTAATATAATTACATTTCGATCTAGTTCTGCCTCCAAGAATCCTGAATTCATCTTGTAGATCCTGAAGAAAATTTTCGAGTTTTCGATCCTTGAAGACATAGTCGTTTTTGATTAAACTCAATACTTTTTTAAAGTGTTGCAAGCAGCTCATTTCTCTTAGGATGGATCAGTATTACGAGTTTTAGAAAATTGGCGCTTTTAACGAATTACATGCAGTTTAACTTTTTTTCTGGACGAATCTACTTTATCAATGTGTTAATCTCATGCATTAACTCGTAATGAGTTCTAAAGCACTCGTTCCAATTTCATTTCTTTAAGGGGACCCCCCCCATTCTCGGGGTCAAAAATTTTGTTGATATAATTCGAATCTACACTAATTAAGGAATGTCCCTACAAAATTTCAAGTGAAAATCTCAAGAACTCTTGACGATTTATTGTGTCAGCATCAAGTGACGGCTGAAGGGCTTCTCAAATTTAAAAGCGTTTTTCTCTAAGAATTTTTTGTGAGTGGCGGGCACGATAACTCAAAAACTAATAACCCAATCGATTTCAAATTTTTGCACGTTTCTCTGTGAGTGTATAGCTATCGTATGAACTAGGATAAAGCCAATCGGTTATTATATTCAGTTATATATGTGCAAAGTTACAAACCTTTACAAGCATTGGTATTAATTTATCAGCCCATTGAAAATCTTGAAAAATTAAAATGGAGAAGCACAAAATTTGCAGCTGCTGTAGTCGCTGCGAGACTTCAAATATACATAGACTTTTTCACACTAGGCATCTTGACATTTATGAATAGTTATTCCCTCCGCTGGTGCAGTCGGAAACTGCTCACCGTCGATATTTTCGTGTTGATTGGGTATATATTGAAATGTTTTTACACAAACATGAATTGGTGTTCATGATAATTCGGACAGATGCCTTCGTTTAGAACGAGATAAGACTTTGGTATTTTTCCGTGGAAATTAAATCCGGTAAAGCAGGAATTTATTCCCTAAGGTGGTACCTAACAATCACTAGAGCTGTAAAAAAAAAATCGATGGCAATATCAATAGTATTGATTCTTTTCTTAAAATTGAATATCGATTGATAGTTTTGGCTATCGATATTATCGGACAAAATAACATAGGTTAGGTTTTGCCAATACGTCAATATAATTTGCGCGCCTTTTCGACTTTGTGTTTGTGAAAAATGGTATTGGAAAATACGTATTATCCAAAACCGAACAATGTAAATTTGCTTAGAAGCACGTACTTTTCTCAGAAACGCGAAAAAATTCCAACAATCGTAAAGGAGGATACATTGCGCCAGGCAAACCACTGACAGTGGTTCTCTTTGAGGTAGGGGCAGCTGATATTTACTTTCATATACCATCCCCACATATGTGTTAGTACGAATTATGTGAATTATTTTCAAAACCACGAAAAAGTCTACAATGTGTTACAAAAATGATTAATATCATCGGTTTAACAAAAGTCAAACATATACATACCTTCAATTTTGTATTTGTAGATTCGGCATTTGTTTTTGAATCAACAGTTCTGCACTTTTGTGGTTTTTTAATAAATAGTTTCTTCTCCGATAATATCGATAGCAATCGATAGTTTGAAATGAAATATCGGAACTATCTAATGCTTGGAATATCGATGTTTTTACAGCTCTGACCATCACTGGTGTAATATTAACAGTTCCCATGTATTAGGCTGTACTTTTTAAGATTAGATCATACGGTAAACCTCGAGATACTTTGAATTTTTTAATAGATTAAACAATTCTGTTTCTATTTTCGTATTTTAGCCCCGTGGACTTGCAAATGACATTCGACAGATACTACCTCTTCCATAGGGATAGAATTAGCTTCACAGTACTATTTTGCCGCAGAATATTGATACCGTGCGTGAACTGATAATACAAGATCGTCCTGTGTTATGTAGTCAGATAGAAAAACGCTGCAAGCGTCGTCGATTCATTCGTTCGCGAGCATTTGTTGTTGAAGAGCATTCTTTTGAAAAACTCAAAAAACAAATGTTCGCGAATGTCAGAAAGAATTTCAACCACGAAACGAACGAACGTTGTTGTGCACTCTCACTCGTTTGCTATGTGTTGCGACCATTATTTGGCGAATGTTCGTTTGGTAAAGAATTTATCGCCATAAATTCATTCATAAAATGAGCACAAAACGAAAAGAATGTATTTTGAATCATTCGCGAGCGAATTTTTTCGCACCCTTGTCACATGTGATTTTCAAATCCGATGGGATAGCAAATGAAAATATTACAGAATCTGTTAACAATTTCGAAGCAACCGAAACTAATGCCCAGCGGGTCGTAAAAAATACTAAAGAAAATTTGGAGAAAAATCGATCGACACAGGCGATGAATGATGGATCTATCCCTTCCTCGAAGACGAGACAAATCCAAGCATTTAGAAGTAAATGATAGCTTGTTTCTTCGGCAAAAATGTTCATGTGACATCTGTTCCATTAGAGGGACGTAGGACGGTCAATTCTGACCAGTACACCACCAAAACGAACAAGAGTAGCAGATGATGTTATTGTAGGTGTTTTAGAGAGTTTTCAATCACAGTGGAAATGTGCTTCGAGTGTCTTACACAGATTTTTTCATAAGGCATCCGGCATACCAAAAATCGGCCTTTTCGTTTGGAATATATGACGCTTCTAACCCTCCAAAAAACCACATTCCCGAAATGACAAATATAGGCTTTAATTCGATTGCAAAATTTGGCTAAATTCTTTATAAAAAAATTGACCCAGCCGAGCTTAACGACTTTCTATAGTACCTAGCGTGTGTGCTTCCATGGTCAATACGCTGGTTTACTGATTTTATATATTTTTTATTCCTAATGGTGCATAGGGCGCTTCCACAAAACTTAGCCATCTTAAACTCAATTAGTCCTTGTATTAGCTTTGTTTATACTTGTTTTTTATTGCACCTAAGGGTGATGCAGATGCCATCTACCGTTGCCTAGAAACAATTCCTTTGAATTTTGAACAGCGATTGTGGTCTTTGCTTAGTTAATGCTGTCGTTTTTCTCTAGATGGCGCTAACTTCTGTCATCACTATTTTGTATTCCGGTCATGTGTTGATGTTAATGACGCTTTCGGGGTCTTCCAACGCTTTCCTTTGGAAGAGAATTAAGGTCAATTTTTACAAATTTCGAAATCCACTTTCTCTAGGAGCATAGGGCCGTCACGGATCATCGACATATTTACTCGATTAGTCTTTGTGTTTATTTCGTTTATCATTGTTTTGTATTATTCCAGCTAAGTTGACGATTCGTCTGATGTAGCCTAGGTGATGCGGCTGCCACCCATCGTTATCTAGAAACAATGTTTCCTTGCATTTTGTGCAGTGCAGTGATTGTGGTGAAGTCATTTTCCTCTGTGTGACACTCCTGTAATTCCTATTTAGGTGTTATCCTCATGTATTGTTGATGTCGGTTTTGGTTTTTAGAATGTCAAGATGCTTCGGCTGCATTTCATTTCATACATAAGCCTATTTTTACAGATATGCGAAGATCCTTTCTTCGTCTGCTGCACTACCTAATATTGTATGTATGTAGTCAGGTTACAATATTCTTAAATTTAAAACTATTTTTAGAAAATATACTCTACTTGCCCTCGACTACAAAATATTCTACAAATATTTCCAATTTTAATTATTTTATTTTTTCATTTTCTTTCAGATCCTCTCAAATGCTGAAATCTTCCTAACATCCAAAATGATTGATACGGCTCAGAGTTTTCATACCGAATTTTGAATTTTATACTGTAATCAATTTAATCTCTAGACAAACTATGGTTATTACTACCACTACAAAAAAACTACTCTACTCTCTGTGACTCGAACATATCCATTGTGAAGTAATTGGTAGTGTTTTTTGTATTCTTTAAAAAAAAAAACAACAAAAACAATATATTATAACTGAAAAATTCTAAGGGAGGATGGGTAAATCAATGCAGGCAATATATTTTGAAACATTTCGTTACAACATTGTATTGTATTTTTATCTCTAACGGGGATGGGATAGTGCAGTGGATGGTGTATCAAACTACAAACCGATGGATCTCGGGTAAATGATGAAATATTTTTTTAAATGGTTTTGGAATATTTACTAAAAAATAGACTTGAATTGAAACGCATCCGAAATTCCCTGACATTCTAATTACCAACCACGGCATGAACAAATACGAATAACATAAACTAGGAATGTCTGGAGATAGCACCACCAAAAGAAAAATGGCAACACTAACTAAGCAAAGATCACAACCACTGCAAGAATTCCAGGATGTTTCTAGGCAACGATAGATGGCAGAACAGACAACTATAAATTCAAGGAGATGATGTTTCTAGGCAACGATAGATGGCAGAACAGGCTACAACAAACCAAGCATCTGCTTCGCTGAAATAAAAAAATTAATGAAACTATGACAAGAACTTAATAAGATGGCGATGCGTTGTGGAAACCTTATGATCCCAAGAGTAGCAAAAAAACTATCTTCTGTAATAAACACCTGAAACTTTATGAATATTGCCAGCACTGATTTTCCATCCCATATTTTTTAAATTTTTTATAGATATATAATCATTGTAAATAACTCGTAGAAAAAAAAAACTATTTCTTTCATATTCGCAGTTTTGTTAAGTTTGTTAAATTTATCGTATTTAAATTGAAATTTATTTTTACCGTCCTTTGGATCTTTAAACAAAAAAAAAATATATACTCGAAAAATTAGACAAAATATTTGTAGCGATGAAAGTAATAAATAATAATAAAATTAAATTGTGAAATTGTTATAGTGATATTATTTTTAAGTTTTTCGAAATAAAAAAAATAATTCAAAACACAAAATGGAACAATAGTAATAAATAAAAAAACAAAAACAATACAATACTCTTTTTTTTAAATAAAATAAAAATACAAAAAAAACATATATATATATAAAATTTGTAGTTTAAGTGTATTTGTATAAAAATGATATAACGGAATCAATAAATTTCATACATTTATGCAATGAAAACAAAATCAAAATTAAGAATTGTTTAATTAAAAATTTAGTACGGAACAAATTAGAATTTTGATGGAATTTTAAATTTACCCTCCACCATAAGATGGAGCATTTAGGCTTCAATATATATCCAAATTATGACATAGATAACATATTTCCGATGATTTATAAATTTTCGAATGTTAATCCTTTGAGGGAAAGAAACTAAGACCAATAAGCCTCCTTCTGCAAAACTACTTGGTGAAAATATTGGGTTGTGTCATATTTTGGATCAATTCGGATACTTCGTATGATATTATAAAATTCATTATACCCTTCACCACACTGTGGTACAGGGTATTATGTACCATGTTTGTAACAGGCAAATGGAAACGAGATAGACACATGGTTCCTTTTGAGAATATGCATAGAATCACTTTTTAAGTCGATTTATGCATGTCCGTCCGTCTGTCCGTCCGTCCAAATATTTTTGTTAACAAAGTACAGGTCGCATTTGAGATCCGATTTGGATGAAATTTGGCACAGTTCACTTATTTGGCCCAAGGACGAACGCTATTGAAATTGGGGAAAAACGGTTCAGATTTAGATAAAGCTCCAATATATATTTTTGCCCGATTTACGGACTTTAGTCCCTGCAAATCATTCGATTTGCCCGAATTTTCGCATATCGTACTGAATTTAGTCTAGAATGATGTGTGCCAAGTTTCGTGAAAATCGTTTCAGATTTAGATATAGCTTCCATATATAGTTTCGCCCGATTTTTGGTATATGGTGCACCAAAGTCCTTTAAAATCTTTCGATTTGCACGAATTTTGGCACAGCGTACTGAATTGATTCTAGAAGATGTGTGTTAAATTTCGTGAAAATCGGTTCAGATTTAGATATAGCTCCCATATATATTTTCGTCCGATTTTAGGTAAATAGTGCACCAAAGTCCCTATATATCCTTCGATTTGTACGAAATTTGACACAGCGTACTGAATTATGTCTAGAACGATGTGTGTTGAATTTTTGAAAATCGCTTCAAGTTTAGATATAGCTCCCATATATATTTTCGTCCAATTTAATGTAAATGGTGCACCAATGTCAATTTCTATCTTCCGATTTGCACGAAATTTGGGGTAGCGTAATGAATTAGGTCTAGAATGATGTGTGTTAATTTTCCTGAAAATCGGTTCAGATTTAGATATAGCTCTCATATATAGTTTCGTCCGACTTTAAGTAAATGATGCACCAACGACCCAAAGATATATAAATTTTTTCCCCCGGTTTTAAGTAAATAATGCACCAAGAACTCAAAATGTATTTGATATGCACAAATCATACTGAAATTAGTATAACCTAACCTGTGACAAGTTTCGATGAAATCATTTTAGATTTCGATATTTTGCCTTAAATTTATTCATTATATAATTTTGTCCCATTGCAAGAAGCAACTCTATATCTGTTCAAATGAAAACTTTAGTATATATTGCAGAATGACATGTTTGATTCCATGTTAATTTTCCATCAAAAATGCGACGTATGTTAGGATGCCATCTGTTGAATACACCCAAAGTGGTGAAGGGTATCATATAGTCGGCCCCGTCCGAATTTACTATTCTCCTTACTGGTTTTCAGTATAATTTTGATCATATTGTGTAGGAGTTACCAGAAGGAGTGGACCGACATTAGAACTTGATTTATGTTTGAATGCAATATTAGGATGTTCAAAGTTCGGATGAAATTGGTTACTCCGTTCGAGAGTTATTCAGATGCACACACAGACGGAAATTCTTGAATCGATTCCTATTAATTCGTCTTAATTTTATCAATCCGTTGGAATACGATGGAAAGATCAAGTCGAAGACAACATTGCCAAAAATGGTCTTTCAAATTGGAAAAACTGCCCAAAAGACCGACGCGCCTGGTAATCTTTTCTAAGCTCGGCGTATGGAACGAAAGTTCTGTCACAAGCCAGGTAAGCAAGTAAGTTTGTAATTCATCGAAATACTCATTTAATTGATCTGTCGTTGCAAACTTTTCATGATATTGACCCCCAAACTTTATTTTGGGTGGAAGCTGTGTCTACTTTAGTGTAAAACCAGTGAGCGGAGCAGTATAGTCGGACGGGGCCGACCATACGATACCCTACACAACTACCACGGAACTCTAACTTTCTGCGGATGGTTTTTCCGAGCCTGGGCGATATTTCGTAATATTTGCTCCCTCTAGGCCGATTAGAGGTCAACAGCACATCTTCCTTACAATATTACTATTCATATTCAGTACTGCCCTTCTAATCAATTGATCAGATTCACTTCACCGTGGGTTGTGTTGTGATGTTCGGCTTATTATTGGCATCGACTCGAAAAAAAACATAAAAAAAGTATGTATTAGGTCCACTTCATTCCATAATTATAATCTGATCATCTCCGAATATTATAGGCGTTGTCCTTGACCATAGCTGGAACCTCATGGAGAATTTCAAAGCGATCAACGCTATATTTCCGCCCTCTAGTGTGGTAATGGGTTACTAAATAATATCTGAGTACATAAGCACCGGTAAATATTTAAGTGTAACTCCCACATCCGTGAACATACGACAATATAATTGGTATCAATCACGCCAAAGAATCCAAATTTTGTCATTTTTCACACAAAAGTCAAGGTCCATTTGACCCGCTGAATATTGACCGATCTTTATCAAGGCAGGCATGTTTATTCTTTGGCCCGACCCCCTTCTTCATGTAAAATTTCCCGATGTTCGGGCCATAATTGGGAACTCTGGAGCGACCAGAAAAACCTACAAAATTTTAGTATTTGGTCCATTTCATCCCCTAAATATTAACCGATCTTTACCAGAAACAATAGGGGTCGTCATTGGCCAGAACCCATCCTACATGCAAAATTTCGTGAAGATTGGTCCATAACTGTGGCCTGTATCGTGTTTACAAATTATAATGGACAGACGGACGGACGGACACACATGTCTAGATCGACTCAGCTAGTCGAGATATGACGATCGGTATACTTAAAGGTGGGTCTAGGACCAATATTTCGAGGCGTTACAAACTCTTGGGGCTGCACAAAGCTATAATACCCTGACAACATAGTTGTATAGGGTATAAAAATGTGTAAAAACAGTTTGAGGCGAACCAGTTTTTATACCCTACACAACTATGTTGTCGGGTATTATAGCTTTGTGCAGCCCCAAAAGTTTGTAACGCCGCGAAATATTGGTCCTGGACCCACCTTTAAGTATACCGACCGTCATATCTCGACTAGCTGAGTCGATCTAGACATGTGTGTCCGTCCGTCCGTCTGTCCATTATAGTTTGTAAACACGATACAGGCCACAGTTATGCACCAATCTTCACGAAATTTTGCATGTAGGATGGGTTCTGGCCAATGAAGACCCCTATTGTTTTTGGAAAAGATCGGTTAAAATTTAGGGGATGAAATGGACCAAAAACTTTATTTTTGTCTGATTTTCTGGTCGCTCCAGAGGCCGCAATTATGGCCCAAACACCGCGAATTTTTGCATGGAGAAGGGGATCGGGCCAAAGAATAAGCATGCCTGTTTTGATAAAGATCGGTCAATATTTAGCGGGTCAAATGGAACCTAACTTTTGTGTGAAAAATTACAAAACTTGTATTCTATAGCGTATATATTTACCACTGAAGGACATAAACCCGAGAAGTTGATAGTATATGAAAGGGGAGTGGTTGGCCTTTAAATTGATACCAATTATGTTGTCGTAGGTACTCGGATGCGGG